CCGTCACTCATTTGTGTTCAACTTATGAGTCGGATCCGTTTGCGTGGAATTTTCCAGAATGGTTGATTTTCATTTCTTGCATTCATACCGACTGTGAAACTGCCGCAGGGGAAGTCGGTGTCGCTGACCAACTTCTTCCGGATAGCTCGTAACACCATGACCATGTGCTTCAACAAGGAGCCCGCTGCCAGCGAGGTCGAGGTGAGCGTCATCACCATCACCAACCACACCATTTTTTTGGGATGTTAGCAAAAAAAAAAAAAAAAAACAAAAAACCTGCCGTGTGCTGTTGCGTCTGCAGCAAGAGTACTGGCGTATCGTGGAGCAACGCGACGGCCACGTGGCCGTGCACTGCGGCAAGGTGGACACCAGCACGCACGGCAGTGGCTTCCCCACCAGCAAGTCGGAGCCCTTTGCCAAGTGAGTGATTGCCCCCAAGTCCCCCCCCCCCCCCAAAAAAAAAAAAAAAAAAAAAAAAACACTTGGAGGATCTCTGATGTGTGTGTGTGGCGCCCTCTTGTGTGCAGACACGGATGGAACCTGACGGTCCTCCCCAATAACTCGGGCTCCATCCTGAGGCATCTGGGTGCCGTGCCCGGTAAGAAGGCTCGCTTCAAACTCTCATGCCCGTCGGTCCACGTGTCGGAAAAGTGAAATTAATTTTTTTTTTAGACAGCTATTCATTTTGGAGATGCCATTTAGCCGTGCACCAATATTCCTTTGACTTCAAAGCTGACGATGCATTTTTCTGTTTCAATTCATTGCTCGAGTCTTAAATCGTCAAATTCATTCATCATTTGGGCAATTGTCAATTAAGTGGACATGAAACGTAGCTTTATGTCATTGTGCCTTTTTGTAAAAGAGCTTCAGGTTTTTGGCTGGCTAAAAGGGCCACATTTGTTTGGCCCGGTTTTGTTCAAAAAAAAATATGGATAAATCAAAACTTCAAATGATCAATTCTAAAATAAGTTTAAATTTTATACATATTCTTCCTTTCCTTAAAGTGATTTTATTTTTTTTTTTTGGTCCATTTCAAAAACCGGATAAGTAATCGCATGCCTATTTTTCACGGTTTTTATGAACTGCTTATTTTATGTAGAATTATTTTGATTGTAAAATTACTTTTTTTGTGTGTGTGTACTTTATTCCAGGAATGATATTCTATTGGTTTCTAGAAGGCTCAAATGATGTCATTCTGACAAACTTGGATACATTTTTTTAGACCCACAATTTTTTTATTTTATTTTTTTTACTGTAAGACGTTGGTGAATCTAGTCGATCGTGACTTTGTGTACTTTGTGACTTCACCATGAATGACTCACATGTAAAGTGTTGTTGGTCGCCCGCAGGGGTCACCATTCCTTGGCTGAACATCGGCATGGTCTTTTCTACCTCATGCTGGTCTCGAGACCAAAATCGCCTTCCATACATCGATTACCTTCACACTGGTGCTGATTGCATTTGGTGGGCTTGCCGCGCATCTCCAAAGCATATTTGACAAACTATATGCGCACGCGTGGAATTCAACTTGTGCCAATGCGTGCTTCAGGTATTGTGTCCCTGCTGAGGAGAAGTCCAAACTGGACAAGGTGGTCCACACACTGCTGCAGGCCAACGGGACGCCCGGACTGGAAATGCTCGAGAAGAATGTCATGGTGTGGATGGGGCGCGCGCAGACACTCACACGCGCACACATGCAACATCTCAAATTTACAAATTATGAAAATAGTAAAAATAATTTCATCTTGAATTTTATCGTTCATCATCGTTATGTATATTTGATGTTTTTTTTAAAAGTCAGTTTAGCCCCTTTGATGTCCACGGTAGTGACCGCTGTCCCTGAAAGGGTTATTTTGATTGCATTCAAAATGGTCAGTGTGTCCATCTAAAGTTTTATGTATTTATTTCATAGATATAGTTTGAGGTGTTTTTTTTAAACGTTAAGTCATTCCTGGATGGAAAAAAAAAAACAAACAAACTGAAGAGTGCCAAACATCAGGGTCAGCATATCCATTAGCGCAAACCAAATTTAACCGTACCTATTTCTGAATGAATACATTAACTCTTCAGTTCCGCAAGACGTACTTGTACGTCTTTTTAAAATTAGGCCCCGCCTACCAAGGACGTACTTGTACGTCTGTCTTTTTTTTTTTTTTTTTTTTTGGTTCAAAGAG